AGGTCGGAAAAGAGTTGCAAAACGGCACTTTTACTTGGGCTGAGATGGAATTGAAATGAAGAACCTAATGTGCTAAGACTTCCCATGCCCGACAGGCTTGTCATCAAATAATTGGTCCGATCCCATGTTCCATAATTCAACTACCGAACAGAGTCCAATCAATGGCCGCTTTTTGAGCCGGGCAATCTACTGATGTGGGGGGACGTGAAGCCGAGGACGCGGACGCGAAACCCATGAGTCCGTGCCCTTTGTGGCTGCGTTCCACAAACTCTGTGTTCGCATGTCAACTTGCATCACCACAGCACAACAGTAAGTCGAGAGGAGTTCCACTTTGGGCTAGTAGGCAATGGAAGAATCACAGTGGGTGAGAGCACTCGCAGTGGGTGGTCACACGCCCATTTACCCATTGAACACACGAAAACCGTCCTTACCTAGAGTCTTAGGGTCACCCCAGAGTGGATAGGAAGGATATGTCTCCGGTCCTCCAAGCAACGACACCCCACAGAGGACTCGCCCGCCCAAAAGACTCATGCTTTCGTTCAACCGGATCCATTCTGAGCGCCCAAACGAAACAGAATTGCTTGGGACACCCCAAACCCACTACTAGGAGCAAGGACGCTACTAGGAGCTAGAAGATTGCAATAGTCCTCGCAGCTTGCACCCATCCCGAACTCTCAACTCTCAACACTGGCCACGCCACCACCCTGGCCAGACGCGGCGGCACCAAGCGCCGCGCCTGCAGCAGCGCCAGCGCGGCGGCCTTGGCGTCACCGGCGCAGAGCGCCGAGGCACGGTCCTCGCCAGGTTGCAGGGACGTGTTCCACCCATGATCTTGTTCCGTTCGTAGCGTCCTTGCTTCTAGTACGGCTAGGAGCCCCTAGTAGTAGCTTCTTGTTCATTCTTGTGTCATTCTTGTTTCTATTTGACCATGGGTTTGGAGTTAGGTACAAAGTCTTGATCACCCAAATGGCTGGCGAAGTGACCCTCAGCTCGTCATGAAGGCAGATTTGGATTACAAGGTGCATCGCTACTAGGAACAAGGTGCATCGCTTCCCTGAAAATCTAGGAACCAAATCATTGGTGCGAGCACTTCTTCAAGGAAGCTTCCTGAGCTATCCTGCGACCTAAGTAGTTGCGCTCTTGCAGCACTAGCTTCTCCCTTACTAGCTTCTCCCTTACTAGCTTCCTCTAGCTACTACTACCTACCTGGCTACTAGCGGCCTACACCCCCTTTAACACGTGACACGTGGCGTGTGATTTTCCGATTCGCCCAGTCACCTGTGTCAAGACGAAGGATCGTCCCCTGGATCCACCCAGGAGCCGCATCAAGTTCACCACCAGAAAGCTCTTCCCAAAGCCTTCCAGTGGTCTCTCTGGTGCGGCTCGGAGCTGCCAACGCAAACCTTTTCGATGCTTCAGCGCCTTCTCCAAGTTTCGATGGTTCACCTGCAGCAGTTCAAACAAGGGCGGCTGCACCACGCCGGGCATCAGTCTGCGCAGCAAGCCACCGAGCGCCGCCAGCTCTGCGGTCTGCCCGGTGTAGCTGTAAGGCCTCTCGAAGCGGCCACCGTGCACCAACATCTCACGAATCCACCTGGGCGCACCGGCCAAGCCCGAGTTGGGCGTGGTGGCCCGATGCACTGCCCAGGAGGCCTGGCACAGCAGGTAACCCGTACAGAGCGGGTCCAGCATGCCGCTGGGGAGGTGAGCCGGGAGCGTGGGTAAAGTGATACCAGCCACTTCGAAGCCCAGGAGGGCCTTGGCCCCTTTCATGGAGAAGTCTTTCATGAGACTTGCTTGAATGACCTCAGATGGCTCCACAAAACCATTACTCTTGCCTGAGATACTTGAAAGTCAAAACCTAGAGTCAGAGCTAGTTTTTGTGGCCAGTGTGCTCTCAAAAGGTTCACTTCTATGAATCAAGCCACAATGTGTCCGCGTTCTCCACCCGCGAACGTCCAGACCGGCGCAGAGCGCTGCCCATGAGGCGTGAGGCGATTGGGGGGCCACGATTCATCGATCCAAAGTTCTGGACAGAAGGCACCACCTCGCCGGTGACCACTCGTGTCCAAGCCAAGAACAAGGCAGACTTCCTGATCAGGGCCGTCAGGGCCCCCCAGAGACGCTCACTGCGCTCAAATGCTGCCATCGTGCTACCCTGTGATATCATGAGAGCAAAAGGACAAACAGTCTGGTGATCACATTCACAGGCTTGCAGCCCGGTCGTTTCCAGAGGGTGGTTGGTTGCCCACCCTCGTATGTCGAGGAGCGTGGAGGAAACATGTGTACCATGGAGAATTCAAGTTTGCCCAACGGCCTGCAGCCAAGAATGCCATTTCGAGCCACCTCAAAAGCATCAAAGCGATATAGAAAGTCCTTCTTTGAATGGCCTTTTTGAGCTATTCCCTCATCAATTGGATGAGGAGCTTGCTATCAAGAAGCTCTGTCAAAGCCCTTTTTTGCACGACGTGGTGAGGCTTCCAACCAGCTTTTATGAAATGGGATGAGGGCTAGCGGCTAGAAAGTATAGGCAGGGGTGGAGCTGTAGCAACTCGGAGAGTGATCATGCACAAGTAGTGGACATGGATGGAGGGTCCGGGGCGCATCTTTCTTGGAAGACCCAAGCACGGAAGCAGCGCAGCTGAACACCCACTGTGTCTTGCTTTGTATAAGAAGTGTCACTTTGTTGTAACCAAACTTGCATAGATACTCGGTGCTCTGAACCAACATTGAACATGTTGAGCTTGGCTCATGTAGAGCGTGGAAAAAAACATGGTCTCAAACAGGTCTTTGATACCTGTGTGATGTAGCCCCGTGGAACCCAGCTAAAAGATTCATGGCTTGGCCAACCCGGGAAAATGATCACCTACTCTCCTCATGTTGAAAATTGAAAAGATTAATCAGTTGAATCAGTTGTGCTTTATTTCCCTCAAAACATAAGGATCTTTGGTGGGTACTCAAATTAACAAGCCTCTTGCAACACAGACTTTGAGTTCCGTGCGACATGGACTTTGAGACCTTCCAAACGACTCAAGCCAAAACCAAGTGGCCAGCCGCTTCCTGTAGTCCAGCATTCTTCAGCCGCTCCCGTCCGTTCTTCCCAAAGCCACGGCGACTCGGCCAGGCCCAGGAGACGGGCTTCAGCAGCAGGTTGCCTCGCGGCGCTTCGCACCACAGCTCCACCGAAATGCCGTACAGAGGTGCTCCCAAACCCAAACCCATGCGGGCGGCGTGGAGAGAAGGGATCCACTTCAATCACCAGTGCGACAGGAAAGCATCCTCTCCAGCAACTTGAATGTTGAGATAATTCCTAGAGAAAGGAGATGAAGGGGGCATTGGTCCCAGTGTTGGAACTCAAATCTTAGAAGCATTGCTTCCATTGCTTCCCGTCGGTCCCGGTTGGATCGTCCACCGTCCCAGCTCACCTCACCCACCAGGCCTATCCGCTGCCAGGGGTGTGGCAACTCTCTTTTGAAATCTGCCAAAGCGGACTTTGCAAGAACTGACTCATGCGCATCGCCACCTGACCAACTGACTGTGCCAAGGCTTTTCCAAGCCTGATCTACCACGAGTCACTCAACAAACAAAGCTGGAAAAGCAATAAAGCCTCATCAAACATGCTGCGTCACCAAAGAGTCCGGGAAGCTCTGACCAACATGCCCCCATCTGGAAGAACTCGAAACAAAAACCTCACACAACACAAAACATCCTGTGAATAGTTTTAGACACTGATCGAGTGAAGAATCGACACCCGAGAATCGAAAAGTCAACGATTCACCAAATCGAAAGCAACTTGGACCTGGACCAAGTGTCATTACTTCAGGGAGTGCAACTCTCTTATGCTTGTCCCTTCCCCCACCCAGGCCCCCGCCTTCAGTCCAAAGAGGCCCGGTTTTGGCCAGGGGAAGTACTGCCAGCGGCACCACCAAGGCTGCCACCAGCGGCACCACCGTTCGACGTCTCCGGGGCAGCAGTCTTTGGCCCATGGGGAGACGGAAGATCCGAAAACCGGACGGGCAGCTTGGGAAGCAGCTTCCGAACGGAACCGCGAAAGCCGGCGGGGAGTATTGGATTGAAGTGCGATCCAAAAGGCGGCAGCTTGCTGGCATGAGGACTCATCTGAATGGAAAGATGCACCCAGCCTCTTTTCACAATCAGCACAATGCTCTGTTGGTTTTAAGCTGGTAGGATGAGGGATGGCCAAAATAAGTGTAAAAAGAGTCGAGAGTCTATCATGGATTGGGAATGGACGTACAGAATAAAGGACTCAAGTATCTATGCTTCATTGCTTACATCATGTGATGTTGGTCAATCCCTCATAATGTCGAGACCAACTCAGGCAAGTGGCACGGCAAGGCTATCTAGCTGGAAGATCAGGCACAGCAAGGATGTCGGCAGACCGGAGCATGTGCTCCAACACAAACACTAGTTTACTTCACAAGCTCTGGCCGCATAACTGCATAACAGCAAAAGCCGCCAGCTCGCAGGCTTCGCTCATCGAAGACCCTTCAATTCAAACTGCAGGGCTTGAACAGAAGCCCTGTTCTCGAGAGGAACAGTCGTGAGGAGGACGTCCGGGGTCAGAGCATTCGTTGCGCTGGTACGGATTCAGCTTCAACCAACCAATTGGATCAACCCAAGTCGTGTATCGTCTTGGTCCGGTGAACAGAACTTCTTGGCCTACAATGGCCACGACTCCAAAAGAAGACTCAAGTTTCGGTTCGCCAAGGAGTTGGTGATTTGATAGCCACGTCGAAAGGCCATCCTTCCTTACCATCCTCGTCTTTGTTTAATTGTCTTCAAAGCTAAGTGGTCTACCCTTTGGGTAAAATGAAATTCCCTGTGCAAAAGGAGTGCATACAGTCGCAGTACAGATTGAACACAATTCGCAGAACCCACAGAAGCCAATGGTAGTGCCTGTTCCAACTTCCGTGTGAGGTCACCTAGTCTTCATGTTCTCGAAGAGTACACACCAACCCAAGAGACTAGTGAGCCTAGGGATTTTGTCGTTTGTTGATGAAGCAAAAGGGAGAGGACAGCTGTGAACTCAAAGAAGGTTCTTCGATTGTTGGGAGGTTGCGTTGAAGAAGTTGGCTTTGCCAAGAGAACGCGTGCCGGGGGATGGCCAATGGTCTCGTGCTTCATTTGAAGCTTCCGTCCACCCGTTGCCTAGCACGATAGTCAAACATTCTCGAGAAGAATTCCTCCAGTCGACAAAGATCGAATCATAAAGGGATTCAAACAATCTTCGCAGCAAAGCTTAGCTGTCCCAGTCATTAGATATTTTCCAACCAGATTCGAGCTTCGATCTCCATTAATGAAGCAATCGGTGGCCTCTCTTGGGCAAGTTAGCGCTAAGCCAGAAAAACCAGGAGTTGTCTTGGATCCTCCAAAGTCTGCACAGCTCGAGTGTCCTGTCAAAGTAATATTGTATGCACGCTGTCCCTATGGTCCTTTACCGTACCCGCCTCTCCTGGTTGACTCCTCTGTTCTTGCTCTAGTCTTGGAGAAGTCATTGCCGTTTTTCAGATCTGCTGACTAGGCTGTGTGGTTTTGTTTGAAATGGTTGGATCGCTACTCAGCTGCCGGCAAGGCAAAACATGATGCAGAGACAATCTGAACCCAAGACGGCTTGTGCAGTTCAAGATATCCAAATCTGTTGGGACGGTCAGGCCCTTGCGGGAAGTTTATATGTACGTCGCAAGTGCAGAAACCATGGCAGGACCCAAGACTCTTGGTAAGCCACAAGAAGATGACCCTGAAATGCTATATGGAGGGCAAGGGATCAAAATAACAATAAAAATAGAATCAAAAAAAATATTCAACGGGGATCAATAAAAAAGTAAAAAGGTAATCAAAAAAAAAAATATTCTAGCGCACTGAGGATGGTTGGAGTAGTAGAGGAGAGTGTACCTCCCCAGGAGCTCCCTCCTAGTAGGGAGCTATTTCCACTGCTAAACCATTCTTCGAGTAGGGCTACTCAATGACTGGACGGCAACCTTATCGTTGGGTACCTACTTTCTTCCCAGGGAGCTGCCTCTAGTAGAAAGCAATCAAGCCTCTATTTGCGCAAGCAGGGGACCAGGAGATCGACAGACGAGCGCCGTAGGAGAGCAAAAGACCAGTGGACCAGGAGACAGAAGGACTAGGATATTAGGGGACCAGCGGACCACAGGACCAGAGGACCAGGAGACCGGAGGACTAGGGGACCAGTGGACTAAAGGACCAAGGGACCAGGGGACCAAAGGACCAGTGGACCAGAGGACCAAGGGACCAAAGGACCAAGGGACCACATTACCAGAGGACCCGCAGACCACAAGGCCAGGAGAGTAGCAGAAGAGGCCTATCAAGGAATATTTTGTTTGATTCGCTTTTTATTTTTGTTGATCCTGTGTTTTTTTTTTGATGCTCTTTTTACTTTTTTTGATACCTATGCCCTACATGGAGCCGCATGCAAGCTGTGTTGCAGCTTTAGACGGCACGTTGTCTTGCAACGATCAAGCGCATAACTGCGTCAAAGGCAAACTTCAACTTTTGAAGTTCAAGGCTCCTGTCTGAAACCCGATGGTGCCAGCCATGGCCGCGGTGAAGTACAGGAACTTCTGAACCAGGCCGACCGTCAAACACGTATCCCATACCTTATTTTTAGGACGCAAATAAAAGGAAAGCCATGTCCTACTGACGAAAATGCTGAAGCAGCCCCCCATCAAAGGCAAAAAAGAGTAGACACTCATAAAATTGATTTGTGGGGAGCTTGAAGTGAAAGCTTGATCTTGACTCGCAGATACGAAGAAACCGCACTCACTCAAAGACAAGAACATGGCCAAACCTGTGTACTCCTCATCCTCATCCTCGTCACTCCCCTCGCATAACGTCACCAGCGATGGTAGTCGATTGCATGCTGTAGTGGTGCAAGCATGAGTCCAAAGCACACCTTCACGGACAAATGGCGAAGGCAATATTCCGTACTTCTCCACCAAACCATCCAATGAGTTAACTCAACCCTCTCAAGTGCTTTCTGCACTGGCTTAAAAAAAAGAGGTATCGCCCTGTTAACTTGATTAATACTGACTTATTATCACTGATGGGTCATGTGCGCATTCCAATCAACCACGCTGACGCTGCCATGCACCCCGTCGTTCCGGACACCTCTACGGCCCACCTGGTATGATGACTGCCACGGAGACGGAAGCCAAGACCTCTTCACCTCGTCCTTGTCGCAAGTCATACAACGCAGAGAAGACCAAACCCACGATGATCAAGCCTAAGGCGCCACAGCAGCGCTCAAAGGTGCGAGAAGTCTTCCGGAAGAGGCCGCTGACGCGACGCCAGGTGTTGCGAGATTCCATGCAGGAACACACGCCCATGAGCAAGCAAGCGCTCCAGGCATTCACGATCAATGCCATGGCATGAGAGGTTCGCACCTGCCAGAAACAAGCAAAGATCAAAACTCCGGTGCTGATGGAAAATTTGCTCGCAAAGGTCACCACGCTCAAGTCCAGCTGCTCCTCTCCTTTCCAGACTGCCCAGCCATAGAGTCCAAAGCGTCCTATCAAGAGCACGACCCAGGTCAATAGTGCCCATAGCGCATCCTTCCAGCAACGGGCATCGTTTTTGAAAACTCTGTGGAAACATTTCGCTGAGGATTGGATCAAATCCCAAATGGAAACCAGTGCTCAGCAAGCCAACCCTCTGAGTCCAAGGAACACCTCACCCATTGTTTGGCGATCAGAAACCTTCAAGGTCCTTCTCTTTTCCAACACCCTACGGGGGCTTAAAGGCCTACATTCCGATCAAACTGGTCCACTTCTGCTCCGTTCCAAGGCTCTGAACAGCTCCAGCTCTTCCAGGCTTCATCCAGGGAGTTCTGTTCACAGTAGGACATCAGCTCCTCTGCACTCTGGGCCACAAGCTTCGTGGTGTCCTTCGACAGCGAGATTGGGACATGGGGGACTATGTAGAAACCACCAGACAAACTATGAAATTGAATCTTTCAAACTCATGGATCATGGCGCAAATTTGGAGTCAACCTCAAAACAAAGAAGCGCAGGGGCCAAGGCGTGTTTGAGAAGGCCCAACAAACAGTTGAAGCATGTTGACCAGTTGCGCAGCTCGTTGGTGCCGCTGGCTGCTGCAATTGTTGCAATGATGCTTGCTCAGTTTCTGATGGTTTCCACCGAACTAAAACCAGAACACTAGGGGACCATACTTTGATCGATGCAGCTCCAGGTTTCGACAGCTCATGGATATTCCAACCCAAGCTGCTAAGCCCCCTAGGCCCGCTCAGGACTTGCCAATGACTTTCGGCACGAACACAAGAAACAAAGAGGTTTCAGGAGACTCTTTTGCCTGCATGTTCGTTCAGGGCCTGTTCAAGATTGAAAACTCTGTGGACCTGGCATCTTATGTGAAAGTGTGGACAACCCTGAGCGAAAAAATAAGGTTCTGAAGATTGAATATGGTCTAGGTCAGGCTTCACTTCACAGAATAACTTATGTTGCAAGAAAACTCTTTGAAATGAGTACCGGTTTCGCTGACCCGAAAAAATGAGCATTCCCGGTCAGCCCGGTCCGCGTAGTTCCAAAATCCACCCAAGCTCATGAGAACCAAGCAAGAGCCAAGCATGAGGAACAAATCGACGGCCAAAGGAGGCCAGGAAGCATCACAAATCTCTGGCTGCATCCCGCTGTCGAAATGACAAAGGCTCAACTCATAGGACACAGTCACTATTCCATAAAGCAGGTATGAGATCACCAGCCAGTGGTAAAGCATCGAGACCCTCTGCCGGTAGCGGAAAGGGCCGGTCCCGTCTAAGATGGGCACCAAACCCAAAGCCTTCGACAAGTGACCTGAAACAAAGGTCTGCAAAGGGCTCAAATGCCGCCACCAGGATCTGGGAGCTTCGACATCCTCCTCCTCGTCTTCGTGGCTATGTTCTTGCACCGCCGGCACGTCCAATTGCTCCAGCAAACTCACTGGTTTCGTAGGAGAATGCGACTCGATTGACCCGTCCCCCGAGGCACCGGAGGGATCCCGAGGGCTGGGAGGTCTGGCACTGGAAGGCTTTAAATCGGCTGTGAGTTGACTTTCTCTCACCTTGAAGACCTCCGTGAGGTTGCCCCGGGACACGGCACGCTGCAGATCCACGCTGGAGCGACGAGCTCTCACACTGCCTCCCCCAGAGCTCTGGATCGACTGAGTTCGGTGATTGGGTCCCGGTTGAGAATCCGATCCTCACATGTACCAGCACCCAGAAACACATTGAGCAAGTTTAGGGAAGGACAAACAGTACAAGTTTTAGCATTCCACTTGGCCAAAGAAAGTCATGATTAGTTTTACTATAATTCAACTTCTCAGATTCTCTCATGCCTCATCCCAACAGCTTGGGAGGGTGGGGAGTTCGGCGCGCTTGCAGCTCGATCGGCTCGCTCACCACTGGCGCTGGAATTGGCCCTGGGCAACGAAGCCATTCTTTCACCGCTGGATCTCGGTTCCATGCTGGCCTCGTTCATGTCAATGCCCTCGACACGCAAGTTCTGCCCGGTCAGTCCTGGGAGACATCTGCTATTTAACAAATCGCTTCGTTGGGTGAGCAGAACAAAGACATTGAAAAAAGAAAGTCCATCACTCAAAAGAAAATGGTTGGTCATTTATGCGAGGATATAGCTCTTTTCGCTGTAGATGATTGCGAGCTGGGAGGTTTCTCAACACTCGCACTGGAACTGCCTCGAGGCAAAGAACTGCCTCTCTCACCGCACGCCCGCATACTGGAGCCCGCAGTCTTTGCCTCCCTGCCTTCTGGTTGCGACGCTGCCCCTTTTGCCGCAAAAGCCCCATGGATCTGATCTTCATCTACTTCTGAAGACAAATCCTTCCGCGGAAGGTCTGGTAGTGGCACCACTCGTACTGTTACATTCGTGACGTCCTGGGGATGCTGCAGAAACCCTCTAGGGTCCTGTTGAGGCTCTTGAGGGGCTTCGACTTTCGACTTACCTATGTTGACTACGGTCTATATGGACTCTTATCCTATTGTGCCAAGGCCTGCGAGTCCAAAATTGAAGAAGCCAATGGGACCCCTGTATGGAAAGCAAAAGAGGAGGGAGGCACACCAGACATTGAAGCCACAGGCAAAACCTTGGCGCTTATGCAAACAGTTGTAATGTCCTTTGGCCGCAATCAAAGCCTAGGCAAGCCGGACCTCCCTATCCGTCACATACATGTCTACTTCCCGGTCCAGTTCGTGCACAAGCTGGTCGCACGCATGAAGACAGACCTGCTCTTCACAGAAAACTTTCCAGAGGACGGAAAAGAGTACAAGCATAATAGTGAAAGTGAGACCAACAGCCCATACATCGTTGTGGGCACATATGAATGCCCGTGTCCCTCGAGCGTTCTCTTCTTTTTTCCTATCCCTCTTACCAGACACAGGACCGCCCAGCAACTCCTTGGGTTTCTGCCTCTGCTTCTTGTCCCGGAAACGGCCTGTGGTCGCAGAGTCGGTGATGTTGGGGCTGCCGGTGGTCCCACGCCGCTGCACGGTGCGAAAGGGCACGATTTTGGAGATATCCATCTCCAAAGCTTGCATGGCAGCGCTCTTGAGTGCCTGACTCTTCGTGACGAAGGTCCGAGACTGGAAAACATGGTGGTCCCATGGAGACTTAGAGCCGAATTTGGGTCCCCTAGTAGAGGTCCCACAAGTCCGGCTCAGTACAGAGTCCAAACCCCCACTTCACACAAGTCCGGCCTGACTTTTCTTGGCGGAAGTAGACTTCACCGGCTGGGAGCTATTGTCAGAGGCCACAGAAGTCATCGATTGCCTTCTGTCCATGGGGCCACCAAGACTAGCAATACCTCGGCAGCCGAGAGCCGACAGCTTCAGCAAATGAGTTTGGTACGGGAACTGTCATTTCTACAACTGAACCTGTGTAGCCAAAGCCATCTATGAACGTCGTTGAACATCGTTGGACTCATGTGTCCAACGAAGAGTGGGTGCCAAGACACGTCGGTTCAAGGTCTCCATTTTCTCATTCATGGAACTCCAAAAGCTCCGAATCGCCTCGGCCACATGGGGCGAATACTCGGGAACTTCAGTAGAAGATATGAATCGAAAATACCAAGGGGTGGGCAACGCTTTCCACGACCTAGTGCAGCAACAGGTAAACTCCCCAGTATGCATGTTCTACTTTTGTTCGTGTGGTTACTGTACTGCTGTGCTCGTACGAGCCAGGTAAGCACGAACTTTGTCAATTAACAAAATACCGCGGATGACATGGATGTGAGTGAACAACACAAAAATGGACTGCAAGAACAGTGCATCTAGTTTCCATTTCATGGACTCAAATCGTTCTAGTTTCCGCAATTGAACACCAACAGTTGAGGTACATTTACTGTAATTAAACAAAAATCAATTAAAGAGAAAAGAGAGCGGGTCCCAACTGGCCCCTGAAACCTTTCCCAAACAGTTGTTGTTTAATGGATGAACCAGCAGCATTCAAAAGTTCCGCATTGGTTGGCTCTGGAACCACTTCATCACCGTTGCCGTCATCCTCACTGTGATCGGAGGCAAGAAGATCCAATGACGGAACCAAATCCAAGCAAGGAGGCTGAGACCCAGGAGGTAACGCCATCATGGCGAGGCTAACGCCGAACGCCGACGTCTGTGGATGACAATTGAAGCCTTATGTCAACCTTGAGAGATCACACCAAGTGCAAGTTTTGTTCCATCAAATTGGCGTTTCTGTTCTTTGGTTGCGCTCACATCACTTGAGCACGGCTGTCCGGCAATGTTACACAAACATTTGCCCAACGTGTTGTTGATTGTTGTTGAAACAAGTCAAACATAAAACAATTCCTCCAAAATTTTTCGAGTTGTTTGCAACCTGAAAGTTCACCTCCTGACATAACAAATAAAGAAAAAATATTGAAAAAATGCAATGAAGCCTAACCAATGGCTTTGCTCCTGATGTCAGCCCAAACCCTCAGTTCATAGAGACATGTTGAGATTCCAGACAATGCAAAATCCAAGGTTTTCTGGCATTTTCGAGTTTGTTGGGAGGGCGGCGCGGCATGAGTGTAAAAAGTGATTCCGGGAGACAATCCAACCTGCTGACCAAAAAATTGTTCGATTTGAGAGTGTGAAGCTGCCCATGGAAGCCATCGAAGTTGGATGTTACAGGTTCCATGGCAAACACTGTGATCGCACCTGGGTTTACAAGTGTTGCGCAGCCCAAAGTTTATGGGCTGCAAACTTTTGTTGCCACCCATGGCGACAGGGTTGGTCATCAATCTGCAGGCATTGACTCAGCTTGTCTGCTTTAAGGCTTTGGAACTCGACACTGGAAAGCTGGTTTGTTATTTGTCATGCACCATACAGGCACGATGTAACCGAAGGCCATCTAAGGGCACAGTCAGTCGACCATAGCATGAGGCCAGTTCCATTTGATTCTTGCCAAGTATGTTCTGGTACTCGTAGAGCTTCAAGAAAGAGTCAAAAGTCTCGATTTGGTTCCCATTCTCCAAGACCAGCCGAAATACTGGTCATAGCCATGTGTTTTCCTTGATCTTGTCATTGCTCTCCTAGCCTCGTGTGGCATCACGCGACTCAAGTGCGAAAAGGCATGGAAATTGTCGCTTGTAGCTGTAGCCAGCGAAAAAACATAAAGAATGAACATCAAGATGGTGTGGATCACGATAAAACTTGTCAATTTGTGGATCCACCAATTGGCTTGCTCTTCAACGAGAGCCTTCATCTCCATGTGTGAGTCCGCTCCTACTTTCACTCATGCCAGAGTTCTTATCAGGCAAGAGGTTTTACCTCATGGACACCCTCAGCCTAAGGATCCGAGTATATACTTTTTTTGTCGGTGGCCGGTGGCCAGGCCGGTGGCCGGTGGCCGGTGGCCGGTGGCCGGTGGCTGCTGGCCGGTGGCCGGTGGCCGGTGGCCGGTCCGGTAGCCGGTGCCGGTGGCCGATGGCCGGGGGCCGGTGGCCGGTGGCCGGGCCGGTGGCCGGTGGCCGGGCCGGGGCCGCGGCTGGAGGCCGCTTACTGGTCAGGTAGCCCGAGTCCGGTGGCCGGTCCGGTGGCCGTGGTTCGGTGGCCCGTTTTTAACCACCCCCTCTCTGCGCAGGTCTATTTCTATGCTGCGGGCGACCAGAAGCCCAACCCGCAACACGCTTTCCAGTCAGTTGCCAGTCTCCCCGTCTCAGACAAGCCCAATGGCGAAACTGCGACGCTTGGGGCTCAGATCAAATTTAGAGAAGGAAGTTGCCCTTCCAAGTTGACTCACCCCTTTGTCGGCAATGCAGGGGAAAAGTTAGAGAAGGACGTTGCCACTTCAACTTGACTCATGTGGGCAATGCAGGGGCACAATTTAGAGAAGGATGTTGCCATTTCAACTTGACTCACCCTTTTGTGGAGCATGCAGGGAGAAAATTTAGAGAAGGATGTTGCCATTTCAAGTTGACTCATCCCCTTTATGGGCAATGCATGGGCGACATTTAGAGAAGGAAGTGGCCATTCTAACTTGACTCATCCCTGTCTGAGGGCAACTCAGGGGGAAAATTTAGAGAAGGAAGTGGTCGTTCCAAGTTGACTCACCCTTTGGTG